TAATCATCACTATTTATAGAAGACTTGAACACAAATTCAATAACTTTCCTTCAGATTCCTTTACACAATTTCCAAAAGTATGATCATCAAACTTGGGATATAAGGACACTTACCTTGGTATGGTAACACATTTAGTATTACAGTTTTGAGTAGTGATGGCTTTCTCAAGCTCATCTAATCGTCCTGTTTTCTTTAGTTTCTTCACCAGACTTTTCACTGCTTTCTCACACCACTTTTCTTCTTGCCCATTCTGCTCTCCTCCACCTGCTCCTCCAGACCCACCAGCTGACTTCTTCCATCCCAGCAGTCTCTTCACAACTGGCGGAGTGAATGGCAAGATGGACGACATGTTCTTACCAAAGGCAGCAAGCCACACCAGGAAAACAGCCTCCTGTGCCAAACCTAGCAAAGACAGTGAAAAGATGATGCACAGACCAACTTAACATCAAGTAATAATTTCAACATATTATAGAAAGCAAACTATAAAATGGGATATAGAAATTCAAATTATTACTTTCAACAACAGACTTTCTGAAGTCTTTTCCACCCATGAAAATGTTATCGTTACTAACTTAAAGAAATCATGGAAACAAATTCTTCTAAAAACAAGACTATGAGGACTCCCAGTCTTATTGGCAAATATAATAATTTTGCAAGTAAAATCTTTCTCACCACTTTGAACAATTTTTCACTACCAATACTACTTTATTTTTAACTCTTAATAGGGTCAATAAAAGAAAGTTTTTCTCACTTTTTAGGATTTTAATCTATTCTCAAAAGATTTAAGAAAAATACATAAAAAATTAACAAGCTCACCCCCTCCAAAGTTTTAAAATTTCATAACTAAGTATCAAAAACAAAATCTTAAGTTATTATAAGGAGGAGAAATGCATCAAATATGAAGTAAACAAGAATAAAGAAATAAAAATAAATAGAGTCTGTGAAGAAAAGGTTTGGTTTTCACTCGCACTTGAGAGGATCTTTAATTCAGTCTCTTTTTAACATATATGTTTATCTAAGTAACAATGTGCATAGTAAGTAAAGTCCAATATAGTTTCTCTTCCCACAACGAGGTACAATTCCTTAAAATCTTTTCACTTTTATTTTTGGTATTTATACCCAAGTCACAGGCTTATAATAGTAACTCTTAAAATATCAAATTTAGGTATTATCTATTGGTTTTCCTATGGAAAATGAGGATTCAGTTCCCTTACATCACTTACTTCTTTTCCTCCAATTGTGAAAATCACCCAATTAAGTAATTGTGTATATATAGTGAGATCAGTAGTAAACTACGACGTTTCTTTTTGCAGTGTTTTGTTTTCCCCAGAGTTAACTGTCTTACTTTTTCATTTGCTTAGCTTTCTATATACCTACCACAAATTCTCCCCACACTCCCCTCCAGACCCACAATTAAATTTTCCACACAGCCATCAGAAATCGACTACTTCTCTTCTATTCACGGAGCCCTTGAATCCTAAAGCCCAGTATCCTCCAACTCCAGACTGAACTAACTGACCTGTTCCATTAGTGGTGTCCTAGGAACTTCCTTCACCTCTCTTCTGGGCTGAAGCTCCTATTTCTTAATACCTCATCTTCACCTTGCTTAGTTCACTGAATCTATTAATATTATGTCAATGGAGTATGTTGTTCCTGAGAAAGATGTGAAGAAGTCTTTAGTTGACCTGACTGATATTATAGTTTGACTTAGTACAGAAGACTATGTTGGAAATCATTTTCACATGTGTTATTTAATTTTTCCAATAGCTCTGTTTCTTCCACTTATTAAACTGATTAAAATGTGGTTCTATCATAATTTTTCTTAAAACAAAAAAAAAAGCAAATCCCCGATATTGTCATTTCACCTCTACGTAATTCAGTATCCACCTATTAAAAATACAGAGACTTTCTTTCCTAATCATTATCATACCTTGGAATCACCTATAACCCCAGTCATATTCATATTTGCCTGGCTGATTCAAACAATTTCATTTACAGTTGATTTGAGTAGGGATCCAAAACAGGGTTGACATTTCATGCGGATATTATGTCTCCTAAGGCTTTTTTAATCTAGAGTAGTCCTTCCTCCATTTTCTTCCTCCTTCACTACAATTGAGAAGAAAAAGTCAGCCATTCTCTAGATGACCTTACATTCTAGAACTGTGTTTTTTGTAGTGTCATTAACTTGTTCCTCTATCCTATAAATGGAGGTTAGCTCTACACATTTAGATTTGATTTCGACTATCGACAATCGATGATATCTGGTTCATATCATACATCAGGAAGCCCACGGTGTTTCACTGTCCACTTCAGCAAAGCTAAGATTGATCAGTTGGTGATATATAGCACAAGTTTGTGCAATGTACACTTCTCTCATTATATCTTCATCCATTAATGATCATTGCTTGAATCTATTATTTTATTAGGGTTGTTTTCCAGTTCTAGTCCACCTACATTTATTCACTATAATTCTTTCTCTATAAAATTTTTCCTCACCAACTTGGGCTGTTTACCCTAAAATACGGTTCATTTAAGCAAAGTCAGGTTAGATGCTTAAGACTTTCATTTTAATTGTTAATTTTCAGAATAAGAAATCAGTGCCCTACTTCCAATGATCTCTAAATAAGGTCTGAGGGGAGGAGGTAGGGTCATGTGATTAGGAGCTAATGGGTTTAATATATTCAATGTGTTTCAATCAATCGTAGTGAAATTTTTCAATCAATTATAGTAAAATATTTTACTGCCCTTTTTGATAATAAAAACTTTAGTCAATGGGAAATCCTTTAAATTTGATCGTTTGGTAGCCAGTAGTTTGACAGCTTCCTTGCTTTCTAGTATACCAAAATATTACAAGTTCATCTTACGTATTTCCTACTGCCAGATCTAAATAGCTATTATTCTAAAGAATCCTGCCTGTCGCTTCTTAGTGAAGCAAGCAGAAACCACAATTTGGGTATTAAGTGTGCTCAGTGCTATAGCGTTTTCACTGCTTCATAGCTTTTTCAGCAGAGCTAGGATATATACAGTTGAACCTTCAACAACACAAGTTTGAACTGTGAGGGTTACTTATATATGAAT